CTTGAACACAAGACCAAGTTGCGACAACGAGGTCAACCCACTTCTATCAATCGAAAGGAGACTGCGACCATAGCCGAGGCCACAACATTTTGGTCTTCACATCTTCAATATAAATATAAACTTAACAGGAACTTGAGGAAAACTGTCCTTCAAGTGAATGCAAATAATGTCCGGAAGAATGAGCAAAGAACGAGCTAGACAAATCCGTTTCTAGTTGTGATCTAAAGTGGTATATTGTCCATATATTAATTAGCTCAAATCGAACAAGGATATAATCTTATTTTAAAAAATCCGCAATAGCACATGTATTTATCTCCATCTCGGTGGCTTGAATTACTTACTGGCCCCATGCCAAGTCAAAAATTCGGTCATGTTATGCTACGGTGTATGAGAGTAGAGATAAAAATGACCAAGGTAATAAGCTTAAGGTGTGTTTCATACTTTTGATCTAGATTAATGTTAACAATCAGTCATTCGCAACCACCATTAATCAGTTAGGTAGGCAAACAGTTCGTCTATTTGACTGTTTTATAGTCTACGGATGGTTATGGTATCAAGGATGAGGTGAAGGGGGGATGGATGTTTCAGTAAATTCTACCTAGTAGTATGAATCACAGAGGAGTTATCTCATTCGAGCACGACCCTGGCGTCGGCCTACTTAGGCTATTTCTATCCTGTAAAGCTGTAGTCATATGAATTTGACGCCAGACATCCAGGGCTTGGATTCAACTCAATTTGGTTAGGCCGATTGCAGCCAAGAAGAGACTTTATTAACAAATCAGATCTCTGCTCTAATTCATACCAAGCGACAAATGATGTGAATACTCACAATCTGAACTCTGTTTGTCCTTTGAAATGAGAAGAATATTTTGCATCCTTTTCATCTCGTAAAAGAAGATATGCATGCATTATTAGTCACCGCGCTATTCACAAGTGTTGACAATAAACTCCATTAAGCGATCTAAATAATTTAATAAAATAATGGTCAAGTTAACCACGTTAGTCCAAATTCTAAGCAAATCGATGGTTATGGCAAATTAACGCACATCACCTACTCTTGACTATTCAGCAAACTTGGCGAATAGGCGATTTTATGGGCATATTTTGCTTTTAATAGCCGTGTTCCCCAATTCTTCTCTTCCAAGTCTATAGTTATTACTCATCACCATCACCATCATCATCATCATCATCATCATCCCCGGTAAAAAGCATTCGCAATCATGTTGTTCCCTTTTCATGTACTATTATGCCACGATTGAGGCTATGGAAAGCTGGCGCAATCAGTTGATGTGCAAGTGTGTGATTTGACGAGCAAATTATTCCCTTCAGTCCATGTAGGCCTCGAGTTGGAATTATGAATTCTTGTGGAAAACATTGTCTAGATGCAAGATACAGTCGATTTTTGCAGTGAAAAATGATTCCACTTCCATTTATTGTGGACAGCACCCCCACTTGGGACTGTGAAATGCTAATTTTCATACGTAAAACCATATCTCTATGACGAGAAACATGGGTGGTTATAGAAGAAATGAACCAGAAACGTTTAGCCAAAATTATGTTGATCAGTAAGGCCATGTAAATTTTTCTTTTTTTTCTAAAGCCTGATTTAGCAGAGATATGAATAGTAACTGGGTGTGGATGAATCTTTTGAGATAACATTGTTGGGGAGACTTTCATTTCGGAGCAAAGTGGAGGAAGAAGAGATTCGAAGGCAAATCTCACCAGAAGGCGACAGCTGATTCCCGTTGTAACGCAGCTATTTGGCAGAAATACGACGTTCAGCTTGACACAGTCCACGAGAACTGCTCCCTCTTTTCGGGTGAAAACGGGCTGAGCTTTTGTCCATCAAATGATGGACATCTTCAAATCTGCGTTTCATTCCGATAAAAGTCTCGCGTTAATACTAGATCAAGATTTATTTTATGATTGAATATATTTAAGACGTAAAATAGAGCCTTCTTGACCGAGTGTTGGCGTGAGACTTTTACAAGAACGAGTTCCAGGTGAGATGAGGTCCATAACCAAAAACCATGCAAGAGGTCTCGTGGATTGCGTCAACCTGAACGTCGTATCAAAGCCAAACTGCAGCGGTACAGCACGAATCAGCCGACATCTTCTGGTGAGATCCACGTTCGAATCTCTCCTTCATGCACTTGAGGCCTCGCGCAAGCATGAAAAAAGGTAGCGACTGATTTCTTGAATACAATATTCTGTGAGCTACGAGGTTAAGTTGGTTCGACCGTGGTTGCCAGGAGACCTCACAGAAGCTTAGTATAAATTGCATCCTCAGTCAGAGTAGCTGGGTCTTAATGAAAAGTGTCCATATTGTCACAAGAAAACAGCTTGTCTCTCACACAAAAATCACCACTTTTTTCAACACAATTACAACTTTTAAGGCTTTCTCTAACTGGACTCGTTTTGACCTCATCTCCGCAACTTGGATCCGGCATCCTCTGACAATGCAGTCGAGATAAATTCCGGCACCGGACCACGGACTCGATGCCAGGCGCCATGAATCGCCTTCTTGGAGCTGACTCTTGGTGTTAATAGCGGCAAGATTAACCGATGATGCCGACAAAACGTCTGCGAATGTACGAGTCTACGGTCCGCCAGTGAAAGTGAGCATGACTCCAATGGTAGAAGGAGATGCCGGACGAGTTGTGTTACTTGTTGTTGTTATTTGGCAACAGGAGCTGGTTGTGAAAACGAGGTCAATTGGGCATAAGGAGAATGTGACCAAATTGGGGCCACACCCTCTCTGTTTTTAGATTTGCATTTAACTTCCTCACGATTGCAGGAGAATATTCATGACGAAAAGTCTTAGTTTGAAATCGTTTTCACACAACTGGACAGGAACACAAAGACAAAGAAACAAGAATGATA